GAAGGAGGACCTTCAAAGGGAGGTCAGGATAAGAAGGTAGAATAAAGGCCAGAACTGGAGAGAAGTCAACAGTGGGTGGAGGTAATAATTAGACCTCTGGAGGGTCATCTGAGAGAGTGATGCTGGAGGTAGAGGAAGAAAAAACCAAAAATTTGTGAAAGAGAGCTAGAGAAAGGAAGATGATTAATAGATAGATAGATAGACAGACAGATAGAATAAATGACAAATGCAAGGAATTGTTTTGCACAATTGTGAAGGCTGCCTAGGCAAATCCCAAATCCATGGGGCATGCCACAGGAAGGACAGGCTGGAAACTCTGACAGGAGTTGATACTTCAGTCCACAGTAGAATTTCTCCTTCTCCAGAAAACCTCGAGTCTTTCAACCAATTAGATAAGGTCCACCTACATTATTAGGAATAATCTCTATATACAGTCAACTTATTTGTAGCTGTAAGGCATATCTACAAAATACCTTCACAGTAACACCTAGACTGATGTGTGATTAAATGACTGGGTACTGAAACCTAGCCAAATCCACACATAAAACAAATCACAGTCCACACATTGTCAATTTGATATTCATACGTAATCTCCTTAAACCATACTTAATCTACAAACAAAAATAATTAACAAAGGCATAATTCTGCCTAAAATGACACGGCTATCTTTCATGCAACTATGAATTATGTAAAACCTTCCCCCCCAAAAATGGATGCAAAGTTTTTGAGTGACATTCACTCTTCTCCTTGATAATCCTGTAACTGAAATATTGAGATATAACCTTAAATAGCTAAATCTTTCATCCACCTTTCCTCAAAGAGACATGTGACCATGTATCTGGGTGACTAAAAATTTCACTGTATTTCACTAGTGAGAGTAGAAATCTGGCAGATGACAGCTATACATGTAAAGTTGACTGTTATTGATACATCTTATCTTAAATGATAAAAGTATCAGAAAAAGAGGAAAACAAAAAATACTTGTGGTCCTTATACAGTGTATCAATAGGCAAATATATATGCATATCATTTGAATATACATATATGCATATATTCTTCATATATGTATATATTATTTGTATATATATACATAAAAATATATATATATACACAATATATTCATAGCAAAATAAGGAAGAAATACAAGAATTATAGTCCTCATTTCTGAGGACTATAAACCTTCTATCAATATGCATTCCATATTGCCTTTGCCCTCAGCAAGCATCTCAGCTAGATGTGCTTCTTTGCCTAGGGAAGTAACCCAGACATTCACCCCTGAGGGGTCTGGACTATCCTGAATTGAATTGTAATTTTCCAGTGCGGTTAATCACAGAACGTGGTAGTATTAAACATTAAAAGATGTCCCAAGATATCTCCTGTATTCTAGACACACTCTTCCTCACTTCCGGTGTGCAGTGGAAGTGCAATTTTCCCTTAGAATCCATATCAACCACAGCAGCCAGTACAGTGACTCCTTTCTTGGCCTGTTGATTCAAAGGCATAAGAAGCCCAAAGTGGCCAAGTGGTAGTCTTCACTTCCAGTTCAAAGGAACTATTATTGTGACCGTGGTGGAAGAATTATTCTCTTTGGAACTCAGACCACTAGACCAGCAGAACGTAGGTCATAGGAATGAGAAGAGCATGTTTTCCAGTGGATCACTAGAGATGAAAGTGTGTGGGCCACTGCTATTTTCACCCCTTGATTCCTAGAACCTTGAAAACTGGCTGTGGGAAAAATGGAGCCGCATACTTGGTGATGACACAGAGCATATTCTACTTCCAAAGCCCGAAAAGGCCCATTAGACTTTGGGCCTCTTTTTTGGTTGTAGGAGGGGCCAGATGCAATAATTTATCCTTCACCATAGAATGAATATCTTGACATTCCTCACACCATTAGACCCTTAAGATTTTTACTGAGGAGTAAGTTCCCTGAATTTTTGTCAGATTCATTTCCTACTCTATGTCTTGCAAATGTCTCACCAATATTTTTCATTTCTATGAGACATCACACTGGTCTATTATACCGATGATGCTAGACCTACTGATTGGACCTAGTGATTAAGAAGCAGTAACTACTCTAGAGTTACTACTCTAGGTCCAATCACTAGGCCTAGCATCATCTATATAATAGACCAGTGTGATGTCTCGTAGAAATGAAAAATGTGATCAAGCTCCCTGTGGACTAAATTATGACATCAGACTAAAGAGTTGATCTGTGCCTGAGGTAGGACAGTGAAGGTGTATTGCTGGAATTGTCCATGGAAAGCACACTGCTTCTGGTGGCCTCTGCTAACAGATATTAAGAAAAATGTATTTGCCAGATCAGTAGATGCATATCAAGTAGGATTAATTTGCTCAAAGATTGGAACTATACCCAGAACTGCAGCTGCAATTGGAGTCACTACCAGGTTAAATTTGCAATAATCTGCTGTCGTTCTCCAAAATCCATCTCTTTTTTGCACAGTCCGAATAGGTGAGTGGAATGAAGATTCATCAGAAATCACCACCCCTACTTACTTCAAATCTTTGATGATAGTACTGCTCTCAGTAATCTTTCCAAAAATCTGGTATTGCTTTTGATTTATTTTCCTTAGTGGAAACCATTCTAGTGGCTTCCACTTGATCTTTCCTACCATAACAGCTCTAGCTTCACAGGTCATTCCGTTAATGTGGGGAATCTGCCAGATTCTGACTCTCACTTGTGGAATACAGTGATGTTTTCAGTCTTCTGCTGTTAGTGTTAATTCCGAGCCAGTGTCCAGTAACCCCCCTAAAAGTCTGATTATTTTCTTTTTTTCAATGTATAATCACCTAGTCTGTGACTCACAGACTTAGGAGTCACCCAGGAACATGGCGACTTGTCTCTTTGAGGAAGAGTCAGTGAAAGATTTAGTTGTGTACATTTAGCCAGCTTAACAGAATCCTTCCTCTGCAGACTTAGCCATCATCACTTAATTGAAGGGATTCTGGATCTGTAAACTGATTCAAGACTGAGAACCGATTCTGGAGTCATGACTCTGTGTTGGTGATTCAAATTAGACTTCCGTTAGCTAGATCTAGAATTGTTCTATACAAGGGAGGGCTTTACAGGTTCTTCAGTCAAAGCAGAATTAATTTCTACAGGCAATGGTGGAAGGGCTACTGGAAAAAAATGACTCAGCAGAATTTAGCATTTTGATGTCTCTAGCTTGATTGGGATCTTCCCATACATTCCCATTCTAATTTTTGTGATCTCATTTTTTCCCAGTCAATGCCGTCACCTTAACAAAAGAAATTCTTTAAGGCTGGGAATTCCATTTTTGTTGTAATAGGGTCATTGCAATTTATGCCCTTGAAGAATAAGAATATGGGCTTTTTGGTTTTGTTTTTTGTGTTGTTTTGTAGGTTGATTGGGTTTTGTTTTTGAGAAATCTAAGCCCTGAAGCTATAGGAAATAAACCAAGTGGTGCAGGCTCTTTCCAACAGATGGCACCATTAAACAAAAGTGTTCGGCCGGGGGCAGTGCCTCACATCTGTAATCCCAGCGCTTCTGGAGGCCGAGGTGGGAGGACTTGAGCCCAGGAGTTCAAGACCAGCCTGGGCAACATGCCAAAACTCTATCTCAAAATAAATAAATAAATAAACATTTAAAATTAGCGGAGAATGGTGGTGCACCCCTGCAGTTCCAGCTGCTTGGGAGGTTGAGGCAGACAGATCACTTGAATCATGGACTTAGAGGCTACAATGAGCTATAATTGTGTCACAATTTCTGCTTCAAGAGCTTGCAGTTTGCATTTATGTTTCTGGGACCACCGTATTAGGTAGAAAAACAGAGAGTTGAGGTTATGTGGGGAAAAATTGTATAGTTAGGCCAGCATCATCTTCCATTTTCTCTTACAGAAATCACTCAGAAAGACAGAAGAATCTATCCAGTAGGGTCTCCTACTGGGCCTAAGAAGGGCCCACTCAGGTTGGGCGGGAGCACACACTCATGAAGGTGTGAAGGCCAGCGCTTCATGCCTTTATCTCCCCAGATTTTAGACAACAAAAATTTTTTAACTATTTATTTCAGTTCTCTAATCAACTATTACTCTGTGGATGATATGGAACATCTTGTGTCTGTTTGATGTGGCATTTCTTTGCCCACTGTTGAACACTATGAGCTGTAAAGTATGTCCTGTGGACTGAAGAAGTATAACTCAACAGCTCAAATTAGTACAATATCTTTTGTTACAATCATATAATAGTATTTCAAGCACTTGTATCTACCAGTTACATCTACCTGGGTATGAAAGCTTAATACCTGGGGTTGGGCCTGGTGGCTCACAGCTATAATCCCTGCAGTTTGGGAGGCCCAGGCTGGTGGGTCACGTGATCAAGAGATTGAAGCCATCCTGGCCCACATAGTAAAACCCCAACTCTACTAAAAATACAAAAATTAGCTGGGCGTGGTGGCACACGCCTGTAGTCCCAGCTACCCAGGAGGCTGAGGCAGGAGAATCGCTTGAACCCAGGAGGCAGAGGTTACAGTGAGCCAAGATTGTGCCACTGCACTCCAGTCTGGCTACAGAGCAAGATTCCATCTCAAAAACAAACAAACAAACAAAGCTTAATATGTGGATATGAA